TATTCAAAATGGACAAAAATGTTTCCCCTCCTGCAGAATATGATATTTTATATAACTGTTACTGGCTTTGATTGCAGACATTTGGAGTTTTTAGGAATGGCCAATGTCACATAGTATTCTGGGTAGATTGCTGTAGTGCATTACTGTAGTCCTATGGGTTTTGTTGATCCTACGCAAACAATGAGATTGTAAATAGATAGAAAATCTGCAAGTTATTTTACAAGATATTGGAAGAAATACGGCATTAAGGGCATTATTATTGCTTGCATTAAATGTAATGTGCAAGGCATCAGATTTAGAACTGGAATCTTTGGATTGGATTATAAAGACTACTACTTTGTAAGAAGATAGACATTTACGCTGAATAGGGTGAGACTAAATTAGTTTAAATGACATACATATTTTTGACATGAAGCTTGCATTACTTTTTAACAGGTGGATGGTTGTTAGTTGATGCATTAAAACTTTTTTTTTATAAACAATCATTTAAACTATCGTTTTATTTTATTATTTTCTGATTTTTTATGATTACATTACATTTTTTAACAATTCATTGTGTTTTAATTCAGTGTTGGTTGTTTACTGTAGACATCTAAAAGATATACTATTCTGGCTTCCCAACTCTTAAAAGAAGTATTACTGTAAATGTGAAAAAAATCTAAATGTTTTAACATGACTTCGATTCAGTATATAGTTAAAGGAGATCAGGACCAAAATCAGTAGAAAACAAAGATTTTTTACAATTAATTTGGAAGTAAAATACAGGTAAATCTAAACTTACATGAATATTGTAAGTAACTCCCTGTTTAGAAAAATAAGCTCATAATTACCTTTTTGCAAAGTACAAATAAAGCTCAGGTGCAACTTCAAACTGGAAGGCTCTCACCCACCACCAATCTCCTTATCGTGTGCCTCTGATCGAGCTTACCAGCACAGCTCTATACCTTCCAATCAACCAATCATCGTTCAGGACTCGGGAGCATCCTCAGTCCTACTAAAGGGTAACCCTCCTCCTCTGCCTACCCTTTACTCTCTTTGCCATTCACTATCTAAAACTTTTAAGAGGTTCTGAGCACCAAAGATATATTAATTTCTTTTTGTCAGTAAAACTTTCCTATTGCTTTTCTTCATGTGAGTCTGTCTGGAATGACATAACAGTTGACCTTTTTTGTCATATTGTGTCATGTTCTAATTATTGCCTAGATTTAAAAAGCTTTTACTGTAACTTCAAAGTATAAAAGCTACAATTGTATTTCATGTTATTTTTGTCAGTCAGAATTAACATATTGTAAATGCACAAAATACTTTTCAGCTTCTTAGTCAAAAAAATGCTTAAAAACCTTTTACTAAACTTCCTATTTACAATTATGTGGATTGATTTACCTTAGACTAAAATCTTAGCCATTCAAGTTTGTGTTAGTAGTGCAGTGTTATAAATACTTCTTACTATGTATACTTAATATAAGAATACAGGTATTTTTTTCTTGTTTTACATGTTAGGAAAGGAGGTACTTTGAATAGCAAAAAGGTTATGTGTGTCCAAAGTCATTTTGAAGGAGGGAACTAACATGGAGTCAACTGCAGAGTTCAAATAAATCACTCATAAGCTTAAATTGTTTCAGTATTTAAAGTTACCATAAATTTGTGTATCTTGAAATGGAATATTTCTGTATTAAGTTCCATTTTTTGTTTATTTGAGCAATTTACAAAAATGTTATTACTGTTCAAAACAACTATCCAGTTGAACCGATGTCTCTTGGGTTAATATGAACCGCTGAGTGAAATTAAGCCATATCCCAAAGAGAACACCAACCATCCATGATAAAGGGATTTACAGTGCTATCCAAGGCTATGAATAAACATATTGATTCGCTTTTATACTACAGTTTTATCCCTTTCTAAAGTTAGTCAATACAGACCTTGCGGGGACATAATCTAAATGGACCATTTAAGGATATATCTGTAATAATGGCAATGCTTTTCTTTCAGACTTCTTGCTTGTGAATTACTATACTGTATAAACTGAAAGGGGGAGCACTGCAATCATATAGGGTATGGGCAAAGAGGAGTTAGCTTGTGAAGAAAAGATCTGACTTGGCTGAAGATCAAATTGTATTTCCTTTCAGGTAATAGTTTTTAATTTTGGTGCAGTATGAGTCAGAATTTAATTTGTACTTCATAGCTTCACGTTAAAAGAACAAAAAACAGTAAGATCAATTTAAAAGTACATGAATATGTTCAGGTCAGTGCTGCAATTTAATTCAATCTTATAAGCACAATGCTTCTTAGTGCCTTTCACTGGATGAATGTATAAATGAATGCATAATGCACACAGAGTTCTCAACTTTTATTCACAGCTTCATCCTGAAATATTTCACTAACTTCAGACTGAATGTTTATGACTTTATTGGAGCAGCAGCAGAACAGCTTTACTGATTCCCATGACACTGAAAAACGAATTGTACTAGAACACTAAAAACATATATATTGTTTCTCCTTTAGAGGGATTAAAATTTAAGGACAGAACAAGTGGAGAGGTAGGAGCAGGGATTTTTTTACAAGTAACAATTGGATAATTAAACTCATCATTCTTAATGGAGAGGGTCATCACCTGTATTAAAGAAATGATTGCTGTAAAGACAAAACAGCTTTCTGGCTTAGTTAGAACAATATTCTATGTTGCAGCTTTTACTTTACCATGATAGGGTTCATTGCCACCTAGTGGTTAAAAGATTATACATTATGTGATGCAACCTTCATACATACAGTATATTAGCTCTAGATTAAGACAATTGCAATACTAGTTTCAATATGTTTAGAAGTCAATGTGCAATATAGTATGTATATTTATCAGAGCTTAAACATTTTTTATATTAATTCTACCATGTAACAACAGCAATCTTCCTTATATCTTTGACCAAGCCTAAGTTGTCTATAGTTTCATAGTAAAAATGTTGTGTCCAGCATATGTACTTGTATGTGTCTATGTGTATTCTGTTTGTCTGTTGTTTATTGTTTTATTAGCTTTGATTTTACACTATTTCTTTGAATTTGCACAAGTTTTAATTGTTTTTGGTGGAGGCTTCAGATATGTCAGGCTGTCTTTTTACCTCTTCCTTTCTTTTAATTTATTTTCCACTGTGTATTTGATGTACTCTTTTGTGCAAAATATAAACTTAAAGTCCAGAATGCATTTTTTATGTCCCTTTTAACATAACAACCTTAAATTAAATGCATTACTAGCAGTTACTTTTAGAAGTCAAACAGTTAGTTAATAGAAGCTGTAGGTAATTTATTTATCGGGAACAAGCTGTTCTTTGAAGCCCTCAGAGTTTTTTCAGTAAAAATTACTCAACCATAAGCATCTTACAGATCAAGGAACATACCAGACACGCCAGGTGCTCTGATAAGGCCACAGAACTACTCTATACTGTCCACACACTCTGTCCCTAGGGTGAAACATGGTGGTGGTAGCATTATGGTGAGAGGATTCTCGATTTCAGCAGGGACAGGAAAGCTGGTCAAAATGAATGAGAAGATAGTATAAGTTAATACAAAGGACACAAGATTGGTATAGAAGCACATTTCACAGTATACAATAGCAGCCATTCAAAATGGCCTTTCCAAATCAAATGCCAGCAGAATGGCAGCCTACTCCCCTGCGACTCCCAACAAACTTCCAGCCACTGGCCTTCTCCTGGGCCTTCATTTTTTTACTCTTACTCCACCCTTTCACTGAATTACAGAGTCTGACCAGGAGATGAGGCTTATCTTCACATCTTAATGTCCACAAATCATGACATAAAAATATTTTAGTACAAAGTTTGATGCTTTAAAAAAGAATTGTAAGGATACCAGCCAAGGGCCAATCAAGGAAAGTGGGGACATTTTAAATGGCTACTACTGTACTTTACAGTTCTTACCACATTTGTGTGATGAACACAACTCTGATAGCTGGTCTAATTGCTCATTTCACTCACCTGGCCAACTTTGCCTGGTTGCGAATTACCACTCATCTTATCCACCTGCTCCTGTTTCTTTATATATGGCTTAATACCAGCTATCAGTCTGGGAATAAGCCATATATACTGAGTTTAACTTTGATGCCATAGTTCTCGTCCTCAGAGGTCAGTGGTGAGAGAAGTTTTTAGAGTTAGTAGTGTTCCTGATCATGTCATGCCTCTTATCCACTGAGCATGCCCTGTTCCTGTTCTGATCAGAACACTTACAGGACAATGGACTCCTGGATCTCTGAGCCTACCTGTTCTGAACTGTTTCCCTGACCTGGCTCAGATTGATGCTTGGTCACTGGGGCTGCAGCATCTGGCTCACCCTGGGCGACTCCCACCGCATCTCATTTGGCAGTTCATTGGCTGGATCCTACCTTGCTCTAAGGAGATGGACTGAACTTTTAAACCAGGTAAGTGACTCACATGGATAATCATCCTCCATCAGATTATCATAGTCACTTACCTGTGTTTCTCCCTAATCAGAGCTGCCAGTGGTGGGCAGTGCCCCGCTTCCCCCACAGCTTTGCGCTCTGATTTTAATAAATGCTTTAACACTGTCTCACTTGAATACTGGGTCAATCTGTCCTGCTGCTGACAATCTGAGCTATTGCATAGAAATTTGGAGTTGCAGCCACATTTTTCGGATTGTCTAAACTAAAGCTTAAATGAATTCACACCATCACTGATGGTTTCAGAATGACCCAACCAGTCCTTTACAAATATAGGACTACACTTTGAAAACTAAGTCACTCCACTTCTTGCTCACTCACCATCCCTACCCCTTTATTCCCAAAATAAGACTGATAATTTCTATACCACGTTTTTCAATCATGAAATTCTATGAAAATTAAATAAGATTTATGATATTAATGTGGCAAAATGTAGAAATATTCAAACAAAGCAAGAACATTTTTTTAAAAAACACTTTATAAATGAACACCTTGAACAACAAAAATATGAGTTTAGAAATTTACAGAACTAAGTGTCAGAGATTATTTTTCATACAAATAGACAGACTGTATAAATCAGTCTGGAAGGTCAAGTTTCAAAACTGAAACTTCAATCAAAAACTTCCATCTTCTGTTTTATTGCATGGTTTCTTAATCTGGCTTATTTTAAGCTCCACTGTCTCCTCAGACGTCATTAAGTCCACTACCACACTCTGTCTTTGCTCCTCATTGAGCTTCTTATAATTGTAGTAATGCATGATGAAGAAAAAAATCCCCGGAACCAGCATAAAAACACCACATGCATAGTACATATATTTGTAGTCCCCAAAAATGTCAACAAGAGCCCCTGAAAGAGAGAATGCACAGTTAGAAGTTCTGCTTATATTAAAGTAGAAATTATTCTTCAGGAACATGAAAACAAACCCGAAATGGGGGGTCCAAGAAGCACTGGTCCACACTCAATAATGGTGACGAGTCCAACTGCACTTGAGAAGCGATGAGCTCCAACAAGGTCCATCAGAACTTCAAAAAGGAGTGCAGAGAGCATACCAAATGCCAGCCCGAAAAAAACTGCATACACAACTAGACCCCCATATCCAGATGCAAGCGGACATAGTAGGTGACACACACCATTGTATGAAACTGCAAAACTGAAAAAATACTGTATTCTTGGTCTAACCCACTTGCTGTTGCCCAAGAACCCAGTGACTGGTCTGATAAACATGTCTACCAAAGCGAAAATGGAAAGTAGTAAAGCTGCTGAATATTCATCGGTCCCTTGATGTTTAGCATAGGGAGCCAGAAAAACAACAGGCGCAAAAAATCCAAAAAACATGACAACATTACCAATAAGATAAATAAGAAAGCCTCTGTGTGTGAAGAGGGAGATGTCTATATACCTAGAAACAAAACTCTGACCTGTGCTCCTGTTTTTACTGTTTTCAGCTGACTGTGAGCCAACATTCTCAGCAGCAGCTTCTACAGAGCCTTTCCTGCTGCTCATTGATGAGTCATTATCAGGCTGAAATTGTGCTGGTTTAATAACCGGCCTCATCAGAGCACCAGCCACACAGCAGTTCAGAACAATGGACCCCAAAATCAGGAAACTTCCTCTCCAACCGAAGGAATCAAAGAGGAACTGATTGAGAGGGGCTAGAGTGGAGAGAACAACTGGGCTTCCTGTCATAGCCAGTCCATTTGCGAGCGGCCTTTTGACCTGAAAGTAAGTGCCAATGATTGTCAGTGCTGGCTGTAGGTTGAAGGCAAGACCAAAACCTGTTTGAAAAAAAAAAAACACATTACATTTAGAGGAAAAAGAATACATGGTTTTAACTCTTGACTTTCCAATATATTATGATATATAGTATGACAACATTTATAATGGCCAATGACAACATATACAAGAGCTTGCCAAAGGCTCCTGGCACTACTGCTGTTTCTTGGCAGAGTATGTAAGTCAATGGGGTTGTTGTATATTTGCAACGATGGCCGTTAAAAGGATAAAAAAAATTAGCTTTATGAAATATCATAAACATGTTTTTGAATTTTATCCTTTGTAGTATAATAGCCCTAAATAAAATTAATTGGTTTCAGAAGTTCCTTAATTACGTAGTACATAAAGTATAAATGTGCATAATTTAATTTATGTGAATGAATGATTGTTAGAAAATATTAGTAGACTGATGGTAAAGGCTCAGAAATGCAGCAGAGAAGTCATGGTTAAAGTTGCAGAGAGGATTAAATGTTGTAGAAAATAATAAACAAGACATGGGAGAATTTGCTGTCAGTAAAATCATTCAAAACCCATTGCTACAGAACGTGATAATAAAAGATACTTTTAGGTCCAATTCAAAGCTATCCTCAGGTTTTTCAGTAGTTGTGATATGTTTCTGGAACAGAGCTGCTGTTTTTATCAGCTAGATAGATGTTATGGCATTGGAACCCAATATCTATTCTTAACATCCCAATTGCAGGACAACAAACTAAATAAACAACCAGTACAAAGCTATGGTTTAAATCTCTAGTTAACAAAATAATAAACATTTATATCCCCGATCTGTAGCCTGCAATAGTCCACTAGAGACCTGCCTCCCCCCAATAGCAGATTTTGCAGGAAGCTGTGTGTCAGCCCTCTGTTACACCCCCTGTTCTGATTTGCTGAGCGTTAGAGCTAAATAGTTGGCTTAAATCCAGTAAAAGCCCAGATCTTAAGTTTGGGAATCTGTGGCAAAAATTTTACATTACTGTTCACAATTGCTTCAAATATTACAAAATATAATGGTTTCTAAACATGCAAAGCTGGAGGAGACAATCTATAATTGCAGCATTTGCTGCAGTTTAACAAAGTATCAACTCAACAGAGCTGAAAACATACAGTACAGTAGGTTATTGTCAGCCTTTAGGTAATTTTGTACAGTATTTTTAAAACCATGTAATTTTCCTTCCACTTAGATTATATGAGCTGCTTTGTGTTGGTTCGTCATCAACAAACCCAAATACAAACAATGGAATTTGTGATTTTGACATAACTAAATATGAACTTTAGTAATACTACAGAAAAGGCCCCTAAACTCAGCCCTGTTTTGCTGAGGTTTGGGAAAACATTAACACATTCCATTGACCGAGTGTCATTGAACTCTCAGATAAAGAAAAAAAGCCCAGTAGGGCATAGTAAAAAAAATAAAAAATAAAAAAATAAACTGGAAACACTGAGAATTTCGACACATCCAGTGCCGGTCCTAACTGAGCAGCTTAAAGCGATCCTTTGCAACACTCAAAATTCACCACAGTAGAAGATAAATTGTTTTTCAAGAAGTTTACAACATACAGTAAGTAAAAGATTAAGCCCCAATAAAGTATTACTCTTGGGGGGAAAAAAAGATTTTATTTACCTCCAATTACTCCGACACAGAGATACAGATGAATTATAGTGGTTCCCAAAGAGGCGAGGGCCATACCGGTGCACACCAGAAGTCCACCCACCATGACCACAGGTCTGCTGCCATACCTGTTTACCAACATACTGCTGATAGGACCTGCACATGGAAACAACATTTTTTAAGTAAAGCTTTAAATCAGAAGAAATAATCACATAACAGATTTGCTAAGTAAATCACATTATCTACTACATTTGTACCAATAGATTTTGTTTATAAATGACTTTACTTTTTTGTACATGTAGCCTATGACTGCCACTGACCTCCTGCATACATAGAGGCCAACATGACTGAAGACAGCCAGGCAATCTCACTGTAAGAAACTGAAAAATATTCCTGAATTTCCTTGAAATAGATGGTGAGGGACTTGGGAAAGGCATAAGAGAATCCTATGGAGATGAAAGAGGCAAAGACGACAACCCATCCCCAGCCTCCATCTGGTGGTTTGTAGCCTAGATTGGTTGCTGCTGTAGGTGGCATGCTCAATCCTCAGACTGGGAAATGGGAACAGATAATAAGATGTGCACAGAGAATATGCAACTCCAAATTTCCAGATAATTTCAGTTCATGTTTCTTATTTTTCAATAAACAGATCATTTCTCTCACCTCTGTGCAGTCCTTAAAAGCGTTCTGAACAGTCTGTTAACTTTTCCTAATGTAAAAAAAAAAAAACCTTTGGATTCCTCTCTCAGCACTATGCTCCAAGGCTTTTGATCTCATCACGTGTGCTTCCACAAAAACACAGTGACCGTTCACAACAAAAGCAGTAACCCCCTCCTGAGGCACTGTGCTCAAAAAAATCTCCAGTGTCTACCCAAATATTATCAAGTGAAAGGTCTTAACAGTTTCATCATACAATGCAACATTTGCTTTAAAAGCTTCAGTGTGCGTCCTTGATCAAATCTGCTAGTTTGGTTCGTGCACTTCTCAGCTGTGTGCAAATGCTGATGTGTAGGTTTGCAAATAACAATTAACAGCTGCTTAAACAAATTATTTAATAACACCATAACTTTAAATATACAGCCATTTAAATATAGTCTTGTACTGAAAGAAACATTTAAATATGATATTTGTTAAACCAAAAACTAGAAATTAACTGGGTCAGAGGACGTTAGAAATGAGCAACAAAATGCAACAGATCCAAAATCTACAAAACAGGGTTAAACATAGATGGAAATTAAATACAAATAATTACATTCAGAGAACAGCCTGTTCAGCAGTAAGTAAAACATTTCTAACCTCAATATGTTACATAAATGATGAGTGAATCATTTTACTTCACTTCTCAGTCCAAACTAGAACATATTGTTTGCTGTAAATATTCTTAAATGTTTACACATCGTCCAATCTACGTTTGTTCGCATCTCTTATGAAGATACCTCATAAGATTTAAGATGGCTGTGATTTATTTATTATAAGGTTAGTACAAACAAAGAATGTTTTTGTTTTTACTCTCCTAATAAATCTGTACATCCTCCAGAATTCTAGGTCGTTTTACTTATCTGTACAATTTCATTTTCTGAAAACGTTTGTGCTGGGTACTTTAATAGTGATGGTGGAATTATTATTATTATTTTTTTTTTTTGTACATGTTGTAGATCATCATCCTGTTAAAATAGGGTGCACCGGATTTAACTAAAAATAATTTAATTTGGTATTTAAAAAATAGCTTACGGTGCAATAAAATCTAAAGAGCTTCCTAAGCCCACTAAGAGAGATAAATAAGGAGGAGCCCAGGTTATAAGAGTTACATCATTTTTTTCCCCACATGGATAAACTCTTTGCTATAAACTCTGGAGATATACATGGACTGTTCAACAATGCACATACTTTTAATTAAAGTCCCAGTAGAGTACAGCAAACTGCATATGGTTGGACTTTTTTCCTGGCATAACTTGCAAACCATATATCAACTGCAGATTGCTCTGGAGAAATAACCTCCCAAAAGAGGGCACTATTTGCTGCAGTGAACATTAAAGATTTTTTTTAATCTACCACATTTTTTGACAGGATCATTACAAAGTGGTTTATTTTAAAGAATAAATGTCCTGTTTTACTCTTTGTTACATTTCCTAGAATAAAATAAATAATGGATTACAACGAAAAATACATTATTTTTATCTATAGATTTTGATGATTATGAAAAAAGTTTACTTTAAATAGTTACTTATAATTGAAATAGAGTATCATAAATACTATCATGCAATTCAATTATTTCTTTACATAGTATTTTTCATGCTTAATAACCAAATTCATTAAAAATTGTATTTTTCTAACCCTAACTTTTCAATGTGAGATTAAAGGTCATAGAATGAAAGCTTAATTTTAAGTTTTTTTTTATTTATTTTTTATCATCCTTACAAGAAGTACCAATAATTATGGATGGTACACCAATATACCTTGTTAGCCATTGAGGAGACTTTAATAGTCAGAGAGGTGTCAGAAGTATTAAAGTTTATTACTCAAGTAAAAGTACAAATCCTACTGTTTAAAACACTTTTAGAGTATCAGCTCAGTGTTTAACTCAGGGACAAGTTTAAAACACCATTTGTAAAAACTACTTAAGGTATAAAAGTAATGCAGGAAAAAATGTTAAGGAAAGATGCTGTACTGCACTAGCCGCTTAAAGGAACATTTTTCAATTCTGAACACAATTCTGAAGGATAACTTCCCTTATTCTTAATTTTGTTATTTTTCTAATTGTTGTTGTTTGTGTTTTATTTTTGTTTTCTTTGTTTGGATCTTTTTTTTTTTTTTTTTTTTTTTTTCCGGGTTTTGTTTTTGTTTTTTAGGACCCCAATTGCGGGGCCGGGGGGGCGGGGTTAGTTTTTTGGAGGTTTTATTTGATTGTTTGCAACCACTTGGGGCGGGATTCCAAAATTCCACCAAAAAAAATTGAACACAAACCAGAACCATGGAGACATCAGAGGAAAAATAGCATGTGGAGTCAGGGAAAGGTGAGGTAAGATGAGGAACCAGCACTGAAGAACTGCACAAGGAGAGAAGTTATGGTGGACTGAACAAAGAGAAGACTAACGAGCTGATTGGGAGCAGGTGTGAAGAGAGGAGTCTAGAAAGGAGCTAGGAAAAAGGAGACCAACACAAGGGCAGCAAATAAAAACCCAAGAACTAAAATATATCCTGAAAACACAACAAAATAGGAACTAAACCAATAGAGAAAAGTAAAACTGAATACTCAAAAGAAAACTTAACAGAACCAAGACTGTGACAGTTTTTAATACCAACAGGCCATAACTACAATGAGCTGAAATGAAACAAAACTAGTATAAACAAGTCAATTTTTAAAATGTAAGTTTTAGATTAAAAAAAAATTTAAGGAGTTGAAGTAAAAGGTTTTCTAAAAGGGAATTACTCTAGTAAAGTATAGATAGCCAAAATTTCTACTTACATATTTGACACCTCTGAAAACTCAATTATTAGATCAAAGAAATTAGGGTTATTGTAACTATTTTACATACTCAATATAGGCCACACAGAAAGATTTGCAGATGGTTTTAATTTGATAAAGATTTCCCATTTTTATCAGTTTTCTTTTATTTTACATTCAATACAGAGACATTCCACAAGATGGCGATGTTATATTAGTCCTATCTCACGAAGAAGAGACGCTTCCCTGCTGTTATGTGTTCATCCTTTTCTTGTGTAACCTAAACATTGTTTATTAATTTACTGCTTATTGCTTCGTCAATAACAGCTCCAGTCACAAGTGCCTACCTTAGTTTAAACAGAGCCATCATTGGGTGGTTTAGAAATGTTTTGTAAAGTTAGACTTGGTTTTGCCACCGCGGCTTCCATCAGGCTCCCCTGTAGTGTAAATCCAAGGACAGGCAGGCTGGGGACGCCTGGGCTCTGCAGACACCAGCGGAGGAACCACAGCTCCGACTCTTCGGCTGTCAGGGTGAGATTTTATTTCCTCTTCCTTATTCTAACAATGAAATTTTAATTTAAACAATTAAAATTAGGGTTGATTGAAATACAATTTGGATCAAAGCTGTTCATTCTTGTCAAGTCCTTGTGTAGTTCAAAAACTTAATAAAGCTTGTTATTAAGCAGAAGAGCCATCAGGTATTATTTCTGCTGTCTTACATACTGTTTTACAATTTGCACATTTATCTAAACCACAGTTTTATTGTGGATTGATGATATACTTGCACATTGTACATATAATTGCACATTGATGATATACTCACACAGTGACAAGCTGCAGTAGAAAGAAAAAAAACTCCAAAATGATGTACAACAAAATGCATCAGGTGATGCATTGTGTTTAACATAAAACATTTATCATTTATTTATAAAAGATGTAATTAAGTAAATGATCAGTCATAGAAAAGTATTCTTCCTTAATCAGGCACATATGGGACCTGTTTTTGCACTTGGATTATTCTTCACTGTAATGCAGTCTACAAGTTTCTGTTCATCTGTTTTACTATTTTTCTGCAATATACATATAAGTTATAGTAAAACAGATGTACAGTCCTTTTAAGCCTACTCAAACTCTGCTCCTCTGATTGACATGTCTAAGTATAATAAGCATCATAGTCAAAACCAGAATTTAATTATCTTGATCTTTTAAACAACACTTTTCTCTCTCGAGTTGTCAGCTTTCTACCAGAGCCTGGATTTAATCATTAGATAATTTAAATGACTTAGATCATTGTTGGATCAGATTAACGGGGTCATTTGCATCAGTGATCCTGTCATCAGTTCACTACTATTATTTCCTTTAGCCACATTTTGTTGTTGACGCACACTTGGAACGGCCAACACAGCTGCAGGGTTTGGAGATGCTCTAAAACTTGCTAACAACCCTTCTTTTGCCAATTTTGCCTGATTTTAACAAATAAAATTTATTCCCAATCATTGTAATAAAACTATATCACCTATTGCTCATTTTAAACTGAATGCATTCCAGTGCTTTGCTAATACAGTTTCAAAATGTTACCTTCGTTTTGGATAAGTAAAATCTAATGGATTAAAGTCTTATTAACTCCACTCTGCTCCAGGTGTTGTATGATGGGATGTGTCCCATCTGCCTGACGGAGATCCGCTTCCTCCAGTTCCTGCAGAGAAACCGACCAGGGAACGTAAATTTCATCGACATCTCTAACCCAGGCTATGATGGGACAAAATACAAACATGTCAGCTATGAGATGGCCATGGAGGAGATGACCGTGATTGACGAGAAAGACGAGGTAAAATTACAACACCAAGCTTTAAACAGGACTAATATCCCCCTTAAAGGTATTGTGGAGGATTTTCGCAAATTTCCGCCCTCTCCACTTTAAAAAAATGCTTGTGCGAGAGCATGCACAAGCCCATTTCTCCTCGTGCACGCTCTGTTTAAAAGGTGCTGTCCTCATTGCTCATACTAGCTTACTGTGCCTGAATGTCCACTCTTACCCCCAAAACCATCTATCAAAGAATTATCTATTTGGGCATGCTTCAGTGACGCAGTGGTCAGCACTCACGACCCATGTAGGGAAGCCTAAGACTCGAGTTAGAATCCAACCTGTGGTACTGTGCCACATGTCTCTTCCCCTCTCTTATTCCTCCTTTCCTGTCAGCCTGCTATCGAAACAAGCCACTAGTGCCTTAAAAACCTAAAAAAAAGAAAGACAGACATTCTATTTTAAAAATGACAGGCTTTAGTCACCCCCTTTCAGCGGAGAAGATATCCATGGTCTGATCAGCCCAAACAGCAGCAACAGATGCATTGGAAAAGCAGCCCAAACCTTAAAGTTTTCAAAAATCAAGACTAAATAAATAAAACAGCAGAGCATCCCTGTGCACTGGAGCATGATGCACAGCTCAGATAGAAATGCTCATTATCTCTAGATTCAAGGTAAATTTAAATAAAGACAACATACCAAGGTGCTTAAGGCCTAGCAGGTCAGAAATGAGCAGAGGCCTTAACCTGCATATACGGCCATAAAAGGACTTCTACTGCTGCTGGAAACACTAGTGGAGCTTTAGGGCTGCACAAACAAACGGCAGATATTGAGCTTAAAGATCAAACCAAATTTTCTCAGATTACAGAATGGTGCCTAAAGTCTCAGGTGACCAGATCCAAAATCATAGCCTCACAGACTGCTGACATACAATCACCTGGCCTACTATAAAGGCGTCTGCCTGCTCATCAATCAGTGATGCGCTCCAATCAGCAGACAGGGCTAGACACAGTACAGCAATTGGATTTGTATTTTGCAGAGGTTTGTGTTCCATAGTGAACTTCACATCCAGTTGCCTAAACTGAACTTTTCAGGCTTGACCATAAGCTAGTTGACTGAGGATCTTCCCAGATATGTTCTGTGGTGAATGCAGATGCTGTACCCGATTGAGTGTAACTTGAAGAAGTTGAATGCTGAACTACACTTTCATTTCTATTTTCTGCATTTTCAGGTACATCGTGGCGTTCCAGCGTTTGCAGTCATGTATGGTGCCGTTGGCCTTGGTTGGTTGGGTCGCTTCATGATGTGGTCACCAGTGAGGCCATTTATGGAAAAGGCGTATGCTGTCTTTGCTAAGAATCGACTTAAGTGGACTGGAAGGGCAGAGGAATGCCCCTCAGGAAGCTGTAAAAAGAAACCAGCTGATTCCTGACCTCGTTTCAGAATTAAATATTTATATTAAGAAGCCATATTAAAAGCAATGGTTTTCATATTGTAATTAATGGCTATTGTGTTATATAATGTGTCAAAGGGACACATGGTTAAATTACTGTAGTGAAAGAAAAGTATTATAAAGACAGACTTGATGTTTTTTTTCCATTATGATATGAGTTGTACAGAGTTGATGCTGTTCATTCAGTTTAATAAAAAAAGGTTTTAAAAACACCTAAATATCTGCAAAAATGGGTGGTGGGGGAGTAAACATGTTAATAAAGACAATAAAAATTATTTACTTATTATAAAGACACTATTGTTATTATCGATACTGATCGGATCTACTTCAAAACAGTAAATGTTTCCATATTTAATCATTTACCACTAACAGATTAAAGTTTTGATCCATTTTACTGGGATCCCTGCTATTTTACTGATCAAGAGTTAAGTCTTCTATCCATTTGTACTTAGACTCACAGACTGGTAGATGACAAACAGTCAAACAAGAAAACTTTAAGCAGCTAAAGATGGCAGATCAGACAATAAAGCAATATAAAAGACAGCCACAATAGTTCTGCATTCATGCCTGTCTTCTTTTGTTAAACGAGTTGTTCACAGATAAGACTTAAAGTCACTGAAGCAAAATAAAGTCAATTTCCTGTTATGCTCAGATCAGATTGAAGCTTTTTTTTATCTGTTGATAAATAAAGAGGACTGTCAACAAGCTGCCACTAGATGTCACTGTAAGTCTAAAGTATTGCTCAGAGGAGAGAATGCAGTTGATTTTGTTTTTAAATAATCCTTTAAAATATATTTTTTGAGCAGATGCAAGCATTACTGTATGTCTTAAGTAAGACACTACTTTCATGCACATCTACAGATTACACAATGTGATGCTGTTAAACAGTGGCTTGAAATTTGTGAAGAAAAGGGGAAAAAACAGGTGAATTTTAGTTTTTGCACTTAAATAATGTCTTATTAAGTAAGAGATGTCAAACATGTGAATGCGAATAATATTTTGAAGATGTAAGCATAATTAAAGCTGATGTTTGAATAGTTTATTTTAATGTGTTTCACTGCATGGTGGAGCACTTGGTAGCACTGCTACCTTGCAGCAAGAAGGTTCTGGGTGCAGTAAGGTTTCCCAGGTTGCCCAGGGTCTTTCCTCACGGAGTTCTCTCCGGGTACTTTGACCTTTAACAGTCCAAAGATATTACTGTTAGGTTAATTACTTCTCTAAATTCTCCTTAGGTGTGAGTGTGTGTGTGAATGGTTGTTTGTCCTGTTTGTTTCTGTGTTGCCATGTGATGGACTGGCGACCTGTCCAGGTTGTATCCCGCCTCTCGCCCGTTGAAAGCTGGAGATAGGCATCAGTACCTCTCGCTGGATGTATATCTTGGTACATAATTCATTAGTACTTATTCATTATACACTGAATATTTATTTTTATTATTATGGCATAAAGCTAATGTAAAAATCAATCATCAAAAATATATATATTACGCAGAGAATAATAAAAACCTTTTTTTCTTTTTTAACACAAATGTTCTAACAGCATGCACCAATCAGAACTCATTTTGCCCTTTTCAAAGAGAGTAGTCATTTATTCATTTAGTATTTCTTCATTTGCTAAAATCAAGCATATGTATGGAAAAATTAGCGTAAGGAAATGAGGTGGTGGAAGATGCACAACCAATGAAACTAACAAGCGAAAATGCACATACAATATTTTTTGGAAGATTTACAAGACAAACAGAAACATTCTTTAATAGTCAGTAAGCACAGTCATATTCATAAAAAAGGGCGACAGCTATTGCTTTCATTTCATTAAGGTACTTCTGAAACGAGGTGTCATCAGAGTCATGTGACCTAAAAACTAACACTAGTGGATCAACACTAACATCCACTGATGTGTTCTAGGCTTTAAGGTCAAGAGGAATATAAAAAGGCACCAGAACTAATCATGCATGTCGGCTAAAGTTTGCTACTGAAGCTCCTTTGATATCCAATGAAACAGACTAATTGTTAAATTCTGTGACAAAAGAAAACTAAACCAAAGAAACCTGATTTTATCAATACATCCTAAAACAATTGAAAGATTTCAGCTATAATCTAAGCCAAACATTAGGAATAAAAAAACATTTCAAAATCCCTCAGTACCCATTGAAAAAGAGAGAAAGAGAGAGTGATTATTCGATTGAGGGACATGTCTGGTGTGAGCCCCGTGTGAAGGTGAGTGTGATGTGTGTGACGTCCAACATAGCAGCTTACAGACATCCTCTTTCTACTTTTAGATCTTCCAGGAATGATGGCACATAACGTTATGCTTGACTGATCTTCGAGACCATTTGCTGAACTTGACCAAAGTCCCATCAGTCTACAAACAAAACTACTGTAACATAAAGCCCAGCTCGACTCAACGCAGAAGAGGTGCTGCAAGCAAGTAACACAGGTAAACATTAGAAGTTGCTCTCTGGCATTTACTCAGGCTATTTGTACAGAAACTAACCCAAAGATGAGTTGTGAAAGCAATCATTTCTTTAAGGTAAATATATTTTTCTAACCTGCTGTGAAGCTGAAGGTATTTCCTTTTAAATCATGTCTATGAATATAACAGGAGAAGGTGTTTGATTTTTTAAAACACAAAGTGACTATATGTAGAGGATATCCATAAAATCAAGGTCAAAGTTGTGTTTTCTTTCTAACTGCATTGACAGTCATTACCTACCAAGTCCATTTGGAGGCTTGGCATACATTCCCATCATGCAGTTCTAGGACACAAACTGAAGTGGAACATGATATGTGTACCCTGATCAGCTGACTGTAGAGGCAGGCTGCAGTTTGTTTATAGCAGTGATAGTGTCTGCTCTGAGCCGATATGCTACAGATTTACAGTAACTGAAAACTTCAATGGCTTCTTTGTGTAATATGTAATAGATTTAGATTAGATTATGATCCTCTTTGAATTTGATTTTGGTGTCAAACAGTGAGCCGTCAAAGCAGTGATCTATTGCTTAGGTTGCTTAGGCAAGGTCAGGCTAAGAAGGTGTTTCTATTTTTCTTTTCTATTATTTTGCTCAATGGGGGGATCTGTCTGATTGTTAGATAGATCTGAGTTATTTTATTTCCAGTACCATTATGACTTTGGCTGTAATCTAACAAGCTGTTCTACTAAAATCTCCCAACACCATCAGCTGTTTTCTTTTCTTAACATTTCAGTTGTTACAGTTGAATATTTCAATATGTTATCTGTTTTCCTATGTGACAAACACCAAATCAAAGCACAATTATGAGATCTTTTATTGTTTTTAAACCGATTGAAATATTAAAAGTGAGACATCCATTGTTTTTTATCTTTGTTTGCCTGCTGTTCAAAAGTCTGTGTGTAGGGAAACACGTGCAGGTTTGGAATTTTGAAGATCAGGCAGGTAGACACGTTGCAGTAATTTGTTTGTGTCAACAAAAAAAAAGGAATTGCATATTCAATTAGTGGGCTTGTTTTGTATGATCTAGATTGAAAGCAGTAGAGAACATGTGCAAAACCAGTTTGTACTGCAATTTGTCAATGTAATTAAGAAAAGTCTAAGTGCTACTGCACTTTGAGGGTGGCCATAAAAGTAAGATAAGGTTATTCTGAAGTAATACAATTTTGATTCTTGTATTTAAGTTATAATATGTTATTCTTTTTTTCCCTGTCTTTTCCTTTGGCTTTTTTTGTTAAAACATTCTCCTTTTCTTTCTCTTTTGTAGTGAAGGACGGGCAATGTGATATTACATTTCTTGTTACATTTTTGTGAACCAAGAAACTGTTTAATGATTTGGCCTCCCAGAATAATAATCACTGTGTTTTGTTTTTTCTCTTGTTTTGCAAGATATTTTCCTTATATTTGCAACTGTGCAAGATATACTGTACAGAAAGTTGTCATTAGCCTATGAATGATTCAGCGGTTGGGTTAATTTAGATTGTCTTTTGGATTCTCACCAGGCTGCAGTTGATCATGTTGCTACAGACAAGAGGCATCCACAGCAAGTCTGGGTGCTGTATACCACATTAGATCAAGAAGGGATCATCCATTTATTCCTGCCTTATGTTAAAGGGTCATAGAAAAGGCTTTAAAATAATTCAGGATTATGTATAAAATAAGCTTTCTCAGAAAAGTGCAACCTCTGGTTAGACTTTCACTTCTTCCAAACTCAGACAGGCTTTCTACATTAAATAGCAGGGTAATGCTCCTTAAACGTTTTGCATCTTCAATCTTCTTTAAAGAAAATGCCAAAGAAGTGAGATATTTGCATTGTCTGCCTTTTGATTCATCTAATAATAAGTTATTTAAAGGTGAACCTCCAGCTGGGATTTCTGCTGTTCTTGCACTGAATCATCACCCTGGCCAATCCTTCAATGTACCGTCCAGATACGTTAACATTTACCCTAAGAGGAGGAATCTCAGTGTGTTTGCTGGAAATGCCAGTTTTATTGTTACAGTTCCTGAGTATCATAACCAATCACAAAGGCGCACACTCAATCAATGGTCAGAAGCAGATCAAAATGAACAGGGAAGCAGTTGCAAAGTGCCGTCTTTGAAATGCAAAGAGAAATCAGAGACTGTTACCTCCATCAATGAAAAGTCTGGACTGCAGTTATTTCACATCAGCTCTTTGACCACAGCCTTTGGAGAGAGTTACAGTTATGTTGCGAAGCATATCAACTCTGTGTTCTCTCAGAGTTACACTCGTAGCAAGCAGGAAATCTTTCAAGGCTTATCCACCATTAGAGGAGCAAACAGAAGGGTAAGGAGAAAAAAACAAACACATTCTGATGCAATCTCTGAAGTCAAGCTTAATGATGAAAGGATAGCAGTAGGGCATGACAACGTTTTCAACAGCTGGGAGGAAGCATATCATCAAATTGCAAGACACATTAACAAATATTTTATGGCTAAATCTGCAGATGAAGCTTACAGTAAAAAAGAACTTCTAGAAGAAAAGAACAAATCAAAAAAGAAATATGTCTTCCCAGAATCTACTTCAGAAACTGGCAGTGGTATCATGTTCCAGATAAAGGAAGAAGAGCCCCTAACCCTAACCACTGCAAGGGAAAATACAAACTTCTTTCACAGCAGCTTAAGTGCTTCTAACTTGGAAGATAACTATATTCAGACATCAAGTCATATAAATCAGTATTTCAGAGCTCAAAGTCGACCGAAGGACCATCATATAAATGTCACGACAAAGAAGGACCCAACACCTTCCAAGTCAACATCTTACATGGATGTCCTTCGCCAACATACTAGTGTTATTCCAGGTATCCTTGGTACCTTTATGAACCTAGGCCCTTTGTCCAGGGGCACTGATTCGAAACCTGCTGTGGCCTCACCTGAGCCAATACTAAATAACAAGGTAAGTTGACTTAATGCATTTACATAAAAGTACCCATACATGATTAGCACTATCTATATCATTGTCCATTTTTGTGATTGACCAATACAATGTAGCTCATTATTATGAATTTGGTGAATTTTTTTAGATATATTTTTAATATCTTTTTTTAAATATTTAATTCCTTAGAGATTTTTTGGAGAACAAACAGTAACATAAAGATCAAGTTTGGTAGGTTAGTGTGGAGAATTCAAAAGCATGTTTAGGTTGTAAAACAATTCCTCAACCTTGAACAAATATTGCTTAAATGAAATCTATGATTTAAAAATGTGACAAAACTGAAAACCAGCCAAGATACTAAAAGTAATAGATAGCATTGATAAGAAAAGCAGCAAAGAGACCCAGTGTAACTCTAGAGATGCTGTAGAGAGCTGGAGTCCTGGTGGGAGAATTGTTCAATGCAACAAGTGTTCAAAAATATTTCTCATATGAAAAATTGTGGTTCCGTTATATTGCACCAAATTTGTAATTTCTGAGTTACATGCAAGACCATTTCTGGGCTGAAAAACAAACATTGCTTGTAAACATCAACATGACTGTCCAACAAACGCAGTGACAGCATTAGGCTGTGGGAATGCTTAATATTCAAAGCTATTAGAAACTTAGAGGCTGTTGAGATTTGGAGCAAAAGTTTAGTGACACCCAGGTTAATCATGTGTTAAAGCAACCCAAAGTGCAAATGGAATCCACTTAAAAATCTGTAGCAAGACTTAAAAAATGTTTGTCACAGAAGCCATTCAATCCAGCAATACTTTTTTTATAATTAAGGTGTTCAGATTTGGATGTGTGAAGCTGGGAGAAATATAACACCAAACACTGTTTGGTGTTACTACATTAAAATGCAAACAGCTACTGTACAGTAGTAGCCATGCAAACTTAGCAGGCTTAATTCAAATGCATCTAGCATTCTCAACTGTTTATTTCTTAAAATCATTTGAATACTGTATTTTATTTTGTCTTATTGCATCACTAGGCAGTACCCTGTACTGGTCTTTCACATAAATTCCATATATATATTGAAATGTGTTTTTTTGTTTTTTTTTTAACCATAAAATGTGGAAAATATACACATGTGAATAGCTCATTATTGGTATTCTACCTTATGGAGTTGATAGAATTACTAAAGTGCTGCAATTTTTTTGGTTGTATGATTTCAGCTTGTTTTGACCCAGAGACAGGCAGAGGAGACCACATTTAGGTTGTTAACCAGACTGGGAGAAGCTGCTAATCCAGAAGCTCTGAGTGCCTGCATAGATTTACTCAATGAACATCTTATCTACTTCCCATCAAGCAAGGCATTAATCTGGAAGGTCTTGTTTTTTATTTTATTTTATTTTAAATTTTTCTGATAATATAAAGTTTACAAATGATTTAAAAGATCTCCAATATGTGTTTTGCTTTTTCCTCTAGGAGAAAACTGTATTCACCTTGCTGAGACTACGGAGAACTTATAAAAATGATCAGGAACTTCAGGACGCTTTAAGAGAGACCTTGGCTCTGATTGGTTATATGGATCCAGTTAAAGGCTGTGGTGTCAGAATTCTCTCCATTGACGGTGGGGGTACCAGGTGAGAAACTACCGGAAACCTTACTGTTTATACCTTATGGTACAAAATTTGTTTGGTACACAGTAGACAGGTAACTACTTTGTTTACATTGAAGTGCACAATGTTGTGAAACCCCGTTTATAAAAGGATTTCTGTAGACGGGCTGTTTTCATTTAATCTTGGAGATAATTTGATAAAAATTTTTAAAAAAGATCATTACATTTCGCAAAAAATTTTTAATTTTAAGGTGTGTATATCTCCGATAAATTAAAAAAATTAATTCTGAGCAAAAAAATTAAGTAATCAGTTAAGTAATAATGCTATGACCAATATTCCTTAGATATCTATTTTAAACCAATAAGTGCTTTTTAATGATGTCAGTATGCAATTTTTGGTAATGCACTGTTCGTTCATGGAGGCCAGCAAATTGCAATAAAGCTTAAAGCTACAACAAAATCATACATCCAAGGGGCATCTACTGTAGAGTAGTACAGAATTTAAGTATAATCTTTATTGATGAAAACTAGAGCATGCAAATATTTTTTTATACATTTTGACAGGTCCAAAATATATAAATATTTACTTCTGCAAATATGTATTATGCAGTATTACCAGATCCTTGTATGTCGATGATAGAGCTTAGAAATGGCTTCTTCAAAAATAATAAGAAAAATGACGGGGAACATCAGTCAAACTTTTAAGTGTTCCTGTAGGGTAGCAAAGCAGCTCAGAAGGTACATGGAGGTTGTCGCCTTTTCTCTGAACTGGTAAGGTAAATGTTTAGGTTTAGCATTAGCATAGTGGCAATAGTGGCTGCCCTAATTTAAATAGCATAAGGACCTCCTGATGTCCCTATCTGCCGCTGTTAAATGGTTGCCCACAATCCTTTGCTCGGCTTTAGTCCTGAGGCAGACACACAGTAAACTCTTAAGACTAGGCTTAAAACTATTCTCACTATCAAGCTTACAGTATCGGTCATCCGAGGAGGACTCAGAGTAGAGCCACTGCTCTTTCACATCGAGAGGAGCCAGTTGAGGTGGCTCTGATTAGGATGCCTCCAGGCACCTCCCACCGGGAGGAGGCCCAGGAGGAGGCCAAGGATATGCTAGAGGGACTATGTTTCACGGCTGGCCTGGGAGCGCCCTGGGATTACCCCGGAGGAGCTGGCCCAAGTGGCTGGGGAGAGGGACGTCTGGGCCTCCCTACTGAAGCTGTTACCCTCACAACCCGACCCCAGATAAGCAGAAGAAGATGGATGGAAGCTTACAGTTATGCTGTTGTAGGCTTAGGCTGCTGGAGACCTGTAAATGGAAAAGTTAAATATTCACTTGAGTGAATCCAGTTAACAAAGAGAGCTGCTGAAGACAGTCATTGTCACACTTTTAAAATAAATTCTTGTTAGAATCAGGACAGAGAGATAGAGATCAAAGCTGTGTCCTTCCTCGGCCTGTAAGAGCAATACATAGAGGGCAAATCTTATGAGGGGTAGTGTGACCTGGCTGAGGGTGTATATACTTCACATCTCACATTCTTATAGACAGTAAAGATTCAGTGCAGGCAAAGTACTGACAAACAATATCCTGAAGGTAGCCAGAGGTGGCCTAGTTCTTAAAAAAGGGGGACTGGATCCTTGATGACATCCAACAGGTCAGCCAATCTAAATGTTAACTAAGAGCATAGAAAATGTACATTTTAAATATATGGGAACAATTCTCAACATTCTGTCTTATTGTTCTTTCAAGTTTCGCATTATTTTTTGAGTTAAACGTCTTACCTTAGGTTCCCTCCCCTTTTTCACTTCAAACAGTATAGTAGCCGATGCTTCTGAACTTGTGCTCCTTGAAAGAGGCAGCATCCCAGCTGATGCCTTGAATTTCTATTATCAATTATAAAGTTTGGCCTGTTTTCAATTCTTAGTCCTGTTTCTCTTCTAGACATAGCTATGGGTTCAGCTTTTACTGTAACTAACTTTATTTGCTCCCTTATATCCCTTCGGACATCAAAGGGGAGCCCCGGTTTTTTTACATTGCACCAATGATTTTACGTTATTGCATCATGTTCTACTCACCCATATAAGTTTTGTGTCATTTGGAGCTGTTCTGAAGATATTCCGTTAGGTCATATCCAAGTAACGTCTTCCTATGGGCAGTCAACTTGAAGGCACAAACTAAACTGTTCATAATTTATTCTTTATGGTACGTCAGCATTCATACCATGTAGGCGAATCACTGTCTCCCAGACATCCGCGGTTATATTTTTTAGAAGCAGTTTCTAAGAAGGCCTATGGGGGACACTGACATAGAAGACTCTGTACTGCCTATTGTTGGTCTATCAACTAAGCTGACTATAAACTAAACAGAAATGCATGGTTATAACAGCACAAAAATGTACTGTAAAATCAAGTTCACAATATGTTATATTATTCAGATATATGGAAAAATCTCCTTGTAAAAAAGTTTATGTAAATATTCATGTTATTGTGTTCTTCAGAGGTGTGGTCCCACTGCAGTTACTAAAGCTAATAGAAGATGATACAGGCAAAAAGATCCACCAGCTGTTTGACTACATCTGCGGAGTGAGCACAGGTAAATATGCTGGTGAAGATTCTCAGTCATCCAGGTTGTAGTCATTCCAAAAAGTAAAAGAAAAACAATAATCTGGACTTGGTTCCCAAGTTTGAAGTCGTTTCACTTCCCATCCAGGAAGCTTCTTCAATTCAAAATGTCAGAATTAGCGTTGAGATTGAAGCTTTATATAGTAGCCCAAAAACTTGTTTTGTCTTAGAAAACATGCAAATTGAATCAGAAGAACATGTCCGCCCCTTAGGAAAGGGGGTCGATTTGGGTTCTTTCTTAGCCTGTAATACCCAATACTTGTCAATGCCTTTGAAAGGGGGGTCGCTAGGGGCATTGTTGGTCTGGCTGACTGAGAAACTACACGAGCACTTTGATTAATGTTTTTTCTGTGTTTTATAGTTTTATTGGTTTAATTCCCATTTTGTGGTGTTTTCTGGATGTATTTGTTTTCTTATGTATTTCTTGTTTTACTAGGGACATGCTCGGCCCTTACAACAACCGGGCTGAGCATGTCCCTACAAAAACAGAAGGGAAGCACAAGGGACACTCATTTGAGGACCAGAATGGTCACATTTAGACAAAGAAGACAGTTGATTGGAAGCGGTGTAAACGAAGCCATTTATGTTAAGAAAGAAAAAACAACCTTAAACAGAACATACAATGCAGCTATACTATATCAACCCCCTACCCCCATGCAAGGGACAAAACATCTCACCTGGGCAGCCAAGCCAACAATTGCCCCTAGCCACCCCCCTTTCAGAGGTATAACCCAGTATCGGGTATTGCAGGCCAACAAAGAACCCAAAACGACTCCCCATCCATAGGAGCGGACCTGATCTTCTGGTTCAATTTGCATGTTTCCTAAGCCAAAACAAGTTTTTGGGCTACTATATAAAGCTAACTCTGACATTTTGAATTAAAAAAGCTTCCCAAGTCCAGTGGATGTTTTTTTTTTTTTTTTTTACTTCTTTGGAAGCACAAGTAAAAGAAAAAAAGGTAAACCTTATCTATCTATCTATCTATCTATCTATCTATCTATCTATCTATCTATCTATCTATCTATCTATCTATCTATCTATCTATCTATCTGTCTG